TCATCCCAGGTATGCAGGGGTGGTTCATTGTACGGAAATCCATCAATGTGATCCACCATATGAACAAACTGAAAGAAAAAAAACACATGATAATCTCCCTAGATGCTGAAAAAGCATTTGACATAATCCAACATCCATTCATGTTTAAAGTACTGGAGAGATCAGGGATACAAGGCACATATCTAAACATAATAAAGGCGATATACAGCAAGCCTATAGCCAACATCAAACTGAACGGAGAGAAACTTAAAGCAATCCCACTGAAATCAGGGACAAGACAAGGCTGCCCACTGTCTCCATATCTCTTCAACATAGTGCTGGAAGTCCTTGCTAGAGCAATAAGACAGTCGAAGGAGATCAAGGGGATACAGATGGGAAAGGAAGAAGTCAAATTATCACTATTTGCAGATGATATGATAATACACATGAGTGACCCCAAAAACTCTACCAGGGAACTCCTACAGCTGATAAACACCTTCAGCAAAGTGGCCGGATACAAAATTAACTCAAAAAAATCAGTAACACTCCTGTATACAAAAGACAAAAGGGCTGAGAAAGAAATTAGAGAAACAACACCATTCACAATAGCCACAAATGACATAAAGTACCTTGGTGTAACCCTAACCAAGCAAGTCAAAGACTTGTATGAAAAAAATTTCAAGTCTCTGAAGAAAGAATTAGAGGAAGATATGAGAAGATGGAAAGATCTCCCATGCTCATGGCTTGGCAGGATTAACATAGTAAAAATGGCCATCTTACCAAAAGCAATCTACAGATTTAATGCAATTCCCATCAAATTGCCAACACAATTCTTTACAGACCTGGAAAGAAAATTTCTCAACTTCGTATGGAATAACAAGAAACCGAGAATTGCTAAAACAATCCTCTACAATAAAAGATCTTCTGGAGGTATCTCCATCCCTGATCTCAAGCTGTACTATAGAGCAACAGTTATAAAAACTGCATGGTACTGGCATAGAAACCGAATGGTGGATCAATGGAATCGAACAGAAGACCCAGAAATAAACCCACACACTTACGGACACCTGATTTTTGACAAAGATGCCAAAACCATACAATGGAAAAAAGATAGCATCTTCAACAAATGGTGCTGGTCCAACTGGATGTCTACATGTAGAAAAATAAAAATAGATCCATACTTATCACCCTGCACAAAACTGAAGTCCAAGTGGATCAAAGACCTCAACATAAAACCGGACACATTAAATCAGCTAGAAGAAAAAGTGGGGAATACCCTAGAACTCATTGGTACAGGAGAAAACTTCCTGAACAGAACACCAACAGCACAGGCTCTAAGAGCAACAATCAATAAATGGGACTTCATGAAATTGAAAAGCTTCTGTAAAGCAAAGGACACCGTCATCAAAACAAAGCGACTGCCTACAGATTGGGAAAGAATCATCACCAACCCTTTATCTGACAGAGGACTCATATCCAATAATATATAAAGAACTAAACAAGCTGAAAAGCAATAAACCAAGTAATCCACTTAAAAAATGGGGAACAGAGCTAAAGAGAGAATTCTCTGTAGAGGAATATCGAATGGCAGAGAAGCACTTAAAGAAATGCTCAACCTCATTAGCCATTAGGGAAATGCAAATCAAAACAACCCTGAGATTTCACCTTACACCCATCAGAAAGGCCAAGATGAAAAACTCAAGGGACAACACATGCTGGAGAGGTTGTGGAGAAAGGGGAACCCTTCTCCACTGCTGGTGGGAATGTAAACTGGTACAACCACTCTGGAAATCAATCTGGCGCTTTCTCAGACAACTAGGAATAGCGCTTCCTCAAGATCCAGCCATACCACTCCTAGGCATATACCCAAAAGAGGCGCAAGTACACAAAAAGGACATTTGCTCAACCATGTTTGTAGCAGCTTTATTTGTAATAGCCAGAAGCTGGAAACAACCCAGTTGCCCCTCAACTGAAGAATGGATGCAGAAACTGTGGTACAATACTCTATACAATGGAGTATTACTCAGCAATGAAAAATAAGGAAATCATGAAATTTGCAGGTAAATGGTGGGACCTGGAAAGGATCATCCTGAATGAGTTGTCCCAGAAGCAAAAAGACACGCATGGTATATACTCACTCATATAAACATACAACATAGAATAAACCCACTAAAATCTGTACATCTAAACAAACTAAGCAAAAGAGAGGACCCTAACTAAAAGGTTCAATCCCCATCCTGAAAGGCAAAGAGGATGGACATCAGAAGAAAAAGAAAATAGAAAACAACCTCGGAACCTGCTACAGAGGGCCTCTGAAAGCCAGAAGAAAACAGGAAACAACCTTGAAAACCTGCCACAGAGGGCCTCTGAAAGCTTCTGCAGTATAGACTGTCAAAGCAGATGCTGAGCCTGATGGCCAACTGATGGGCAGAGTGAATGGAATTTTATGTAAGTAGTGGGAAATAGTAAGAGCTGGAGGGGACGGGAACTCCACAAGGAGAGCAACAGAACAAGATAATTTGAACACAGGGAACTTCCCAGAGACTCATACTCCAACCAAGGACTATTCGTGGAGATGACCTAGAAACCCTGCACAAGTGTAGCCCATGGCAGTTCAGTGTCCAAGTGGGTTACATAGCAATGAGAAGAGGGATTGCCTCTGACATAATCTGATTGGCCTGCTCGTTGATCACCTCCCCCTGAGGGGGGAGCAGCCTTACCAGGCCACAGAAGAGGACAATGCAGCCTCTTTTGATGAGAACTGATAGACTAAGATCAGAAAGGAGAGGAGAACCTCCCTTATCAGTGGACTTGGGGAGTGGCATGCATGCAGAAAGGGGAGGGAGGGGGGGATCGGGAGGGGAGGAGGGAGGGGCTTATAGGGGATACAAAATGAATAAATTGTAATTAATAAAAAATAAAAAAAAAAGCCCAATTACCCTAAACCTCTCCCCTCATTCTTGTTATCTGGCCAGTGACTGAATTGTTTGCATCATTATCACAGCCCCCAACTAGCCTCTTTGGCTTCAGTCCTTCCTCCCAAAGAGTGTGTTCAAAGAAAAATGAAAAAAGGCAACTTGTTTCTGTTTCTGATAAATCAGAAAGATGTACATTCTTAGCTCCATTTATGTGTAGCCTGGAAGCCTGGATTTTACCAAGCTTAGCCGATCCCTCTATTTCTACTGGAACCTGCCAGCGTGGTTTTGTAGTATCTGGAAGAGCACTCCTCAGCTCTCCAGTGCAGTGGTCAGTGGAGAGAGTCAACAAAGGATTTGCATGTGCCTATAACTCTCATTCCCACTAAGCAGCCTGCATATTCAATTTTCCTTTGTAATTTCAATTAGACGGGGTATTCTTCCCTTTCCATGGGAGGTCTGCCGCCCAGCACCAGCAGCTGCCAGGTCCCACTACAGCACAGTGAGAGGTAGCTTTGCATTCCAGGGTATGCCACTTTCATTACTGTGGAGAGTGATACCCACACATGCTCACCCGCTAACTCATCAGTGCACAGAAGGGCTCGTTCTCCAACAATTGAGAGAATCTTGAAATCTGTTCAGTGTATTTACAGAAGTGTCCTATCAATGTTTTATCAAAGAAAACTTTGTCAATTCAAGTCAGCAGAAAGGTTATAAAAAAAAAAAATCACCCTCCCCCCAGATTTCAAAAGTATCACATTGTGACCCAGCTTTCTAATTTTGTAAAAAGAAAAAGAATCTCATCCCTAGTGGGCAGCTACAAAAACAAATGAAATCACGTGAGAATCCAAAATACATGTTAATATTGTCTGGCATAGAGAGCACTGGGTTTCTGAATCCATAGACCATGCTGTCAGTTAAGCTGGGCAGAGAACATCTACATATCCACATTATCTCATGGAGTGGACAAAAACAAGTAGCTATTGCAGGGACTGGACTGGAGCTTTGATTTTTTTTTTTTTTTTTCCAAGTACCAATCCTGTATTCTTTCCAGGAAGGGAGGTAAGAATGGTTTCACAGTTTGAGAAACCTCAAACAATAACTTATTTGAAAACCTAGAATTAATGGTAACAGTTTGCCAACAACATCATTTTAATGGGAAGTTTCTTTTAGTAACAAGTCCAATAAACTAAGCAAGATGTTTATACATAGTTTGTTTTTTGCTTTTTAAATTTTAAAAGCATCCCTAAAGCTTTAGTGGGAGGCACCAGAAAGAGAAAATGAGACTTGGGTGGATGAAGGAAACCAGTCCTCACATATACCCTGAGGCTATACATTGTACACAGGAAAGGGGGGAGGGACCCAAGGAGGGAGTGGCGGCTCCTGTGCGTAAGTCTATTAATTCACATTTGGCTCCCCTCTATTCACATCCTGCGCGGACTCCACCCAAAGCAGCTAGGCGAGAAGGTGGGTGGGACTCACAGCCTAGCAAATAACAGTCCCAGAAATCGAAAACGAAATGGAGTTGGAATTGTGAAAACACCGCACACTAGAAAGAGGGGTGGAGAGGGAGCGCGAGTAGGGACCCTTCTCTTGGCAGGAGATACACCCCGGCCCTTCCCGGGGGCAGCATCGACTCCCGCGCTGGCACATCCCTCCTTTTCTACACGTGGAGAGTGGGAGACACACACGCAGTGCAAGGCCACTCATCCCCGGAACGTGGGCGGAGAGCACACAACTATTCCCCAGGGATTCTCAAAGACAGATTTTTCCTGGAGGGGTGGCAACCTGGGAGAGGCGACGGAAAGGAAAGAAGGCTGCCGGCAGAGCCTAGGACCCGTGAGAAGCTTGGTGGGAATTAAGGCAAGAGGCAGGTAGGGCCCCAGCTACCTGTTGAATGGGCCCTGTCCAGTGAAGAAGGAAGATACGAGAGCTTCCCTGGAGGTCCCCGAGCATCCAGACCAGGGCCCGTGGGATCTAAACCCTGGTGCTTGCGGGGGCCCCACCCCAAGAAGCAGCTCGCGCTGCAGGACTCAGTGATGCGAGACCCGGGCAGAAACAAGGGGAGGCGATCCGCCTGGACCGCTCCCGCGGGTAGTCACTCACATCTGATACTCGTCTATCGCCTCCACCAGCTGGCCCCAGGAGTCGAAGTCGGCGCCTCTCCTAAGACTGGCGCCCCAGCGCTGCAGCAGACTCCGGGTCACCTCCGACATGGCCGGTCCCCGCCCCGGCCCCCTCCCCGGCCCCCTCCCGCCCCTACCCCAGCAAGGCCGGGCTCTAGGGCGCCACCCTTCCCCGGCCTGGCCCTGACATTAACAGGGCCGGGAGGAACCGCTAAGGCCACCGCAGCCACCCGCCGAGGAGCCGCCCAAACCCATTTGCCGCCACAGCCAAATTTAGCAGCTCCCAGGCGGCCGCCCCGCCGAGGCCACGCCCCCAGGCCACGCCCCAGTTAGGTTGAAGCCTCCCCAGGCGGCCCGGGCCGCCGTCGCTACAATGGCATCCGGCCTGGGCGTGGGGGGCCTTACGCCACATCCCTCCCTCCTTAGGGCCCGGGCAGACGCTCGAGAGGTAAGAGCAGACGAAGTTTAGAAAATATAGACGGGCGGAGCGAGCCGAGAGGACCGCCACATCCGCCCTCCAGACGCGCTCGGCCGCCTCCGCCGCCGTCACGGCCTCCAGTCACGTGGCCCCCGCTCTCGGCAAGCCCAGCTTCCGGCCGCTCTAGCCCAGTTGCCTCGGTGCTACCAGCGCCTTCCTCGTCTCTCTGGCGGACTCCGTCCCCCTTTCCCTCGGCAGGACAGTGGCGTCGAGGTCTCTGAGCTCCCCGGTAAGCTTGTGAGGAAGCGTGTGAGCCTGGGATAACCCCTCCCTTCTGGTTCTTGACCTCCAGTGGTAGTGTCACCCTCCTCCACTCCCACCACCCCTGGACAGCCAGGTCGGCCCCTCGCCCGGCGTCTCTACTGGCTGTTAGATGGTTTACTGGACGCGGAACAGTGGCTTGGCAGTCCTCGTCCTGCCGGTCCGTGGTGGACGGGATCGGTGTGTCGCCCTAAGGCCTGACCGCGATCCAGGAGGCGGGTCGTGGGGTCGCGGTGGGCTGACTCAGTAGGACACCGGGAGGAAGAGGCCGGGCGGGAAACAGGAAATGGGCGCGGACTGTGTCAGACTGCAGGTAGGCTCCGCGGTCCCGGCGGGCTCCCCGGTCGGGAGGCCTGTGTCAGCCGCCCCGGTAGTCATGTAGCAGTCTGGCAGGTGACATCCCGGGTTACGGGTTGTACTTGGGGCTCTGCCCGCTCCTGAGGATGGGTGTGTCGTTCTTGGACCCTACACTCTGAGGTATTGAATGCCAGGTCCCCGGGATGTTTCAAGGATGGTGCTGAAAACGGTCATTAAAAGAAATTAGTAACAGACAAATTCCCCTAGAGTGTGGTAGGCTCACCCAGTGCTGGATTTGCGTTTTGAAGGTGTTTTGTGTAGATGCTGTTTTGGTGATACCGTACTGAAAGGGTTTGTTAAATGTTTTGAGTCCTAAGTGGGTCTGCCCGGGCTTTCACTGAGTATACATGCATTCTCTGTTCGTTAAACAGCTGGTACTTCCCCGAATGTTTTGCCATGAGTAAGTCTAACCCTAGTGGTGCCTAATGTAGGTATTTTGGAACACTGCACCACCCATACCCAACCCCTCCTTTCTTTTTCCTGATAAAGGTTGATTGATGAACCTTTAAATTACATGTGCCTTATCAGAATCGTTTTTGTGTTTCTCTGGAACCTAATGAGCTATGTGAGGCTTTGGCCTGGAGCCTTCCTGAGTTACCAAATGCATCACCTACACAGGAACTTGGGGGTGGGGGGAAGCAGCGCTGTTTTTGTTTTTGTTTTTGTTTTTTTGTCTTTTTTTTTTCCTTTTTGCTACTTTTTTTTTTCAGTTGGCGTTTCATTGAGGTTTTTCATTAACCAATTTGTTTTACTATATACTCTTAGCAATTTTGTACCCAGCTCATTTATTAGAGAACACAAGGTTTCCACCAAGGTCCTTTGGTCCCAGCAATATAGAAAATAAAATGGCTATAAAAACCTATTAACTTTAAGTAGACTCAGTGTTAATAAGGGGATTCATTTGACTCTGATGAGGAAGGGAGGCTCATCTGCTCCTGTGCCTTCTCTTTTAAGCCATCCAACTAAGGTCTCAGCTGAAGTGTAGTCTAGAACCCTGTACTGTCAGCATTTCAGGTTCTCCCTCAGACCAGTGACAGCACATACAAGACTAACTTACTTCAGGGTGATTTTTGTGTTTAAAGTTTAAATATCACTACCCTTTTGTGTCTCATCACTGAAATTATTACGAACAAAATTCTCAATTTTCTTATACAGGAGTAATCTTAAGTATAGATAGTCAAGACAAAATTCGTTTGTAGTATATTATATTTGATATGTATATCTTGTGCATAATAGCTTATGCATCAAATATATCTCCTAAAATAGCCACTTTTTACTGTGTCCTTTTCTACTTAATGTTTCTTCTTCAATTTTTGTGTCTTTTCTGGTTATAGAACACATCTTGAGAAAATGACCCATTGGTTTCATAGGAACCCATTGAAAGCTACAGCTCCCGTGTCTTTTAACTACTATGGCATGATCACTGGTCCTCCTGCTTCAAAGATTTGCAAGTAAGTGTTAGTGAAACTTAAGAAGTGTTGGTTGGGCAATGAATCAAAGTACATTTTTAAGTTCCTTAATCAGTTAGGAAATGTGTAACACATTCCTCACGTTGAACTTAGGATAAGTTTTTATTTTATCATTAACAAATGAAGGTTAAAACATGAGGTAGTCATCTAAGTCACATGCTTAATTTTAGGTCAGTAAATGAGTTCCAGAAAGGCTAAAGCAGTAACAATCAAAGTTAAACTGTGTATCTCAGTAGATCCTTAAGATAGGATGTAGTCTTGTTAATGAATCAGGCAGTAAATTATTTAAGTTCCAAGCAGGGAGAGAGTCTTGTGATTTGAAGTAGCCTTCAAAGTAGTAATATAGAAGGAAGGACTTGAGCTAGGCTTCACATGAATTGTTCAACTTAGATCAGGAGTTGGCAAAATATGTCCACTGTGTGTGTGTGTGTGTGTGTGTGTGTGTGTTGATCCCACATACACGCTCAACATACAGAAAGTGAAATTCATCTTAAAATTATTCAAATTGGGGGAAAAACAAGCCTTAGGAGTATGTGATTTAGACACAGGTGTGGGGCCTGAGTTTGGATCCTAACATCCATATACTAAAGCAGACGAGATGGTACACCTCTGAACTCCAGCACTGGAGAATGGGGGTTTGTGGAGATGGGCAGAGCCTTGAGCTCTTCAGTGAGCAGGGTTAGCCAAAACAACAAGCTCTAGGTTCAGTAAGAGGCCCAGACATCCACACACACCCAGGCATGAATATTTGCACATGTGTGTGATTGTGTGCATACATACATACTAATATGTGTTTAGAATAAGAAAATTTACAAACGACTTAGGAAATATTCTGATATTTATAGCAATATTCTATAGCATTCATTCTGTGTGTTGACAATTTAAATTTAGTCTTCAGCCTACACGTTTTAAGTGCCTCGTCACTACCGTCTAACATGACTTTTTGAGCTCTCACTGCCTCCTGGATTAGACGTGGCAGTAGCTTAAAGATGGTGTAATGGAGGAAGTCATTGGAGATGTGAGACTAGAGATCTCAAAAGAGAGAAATCAGGAGGCCAGAGACTGGCACTTTTGTAGGTGGGAGAGAGCCAGCGACACAGAGAAGAAATGTTGAGAGGGGAGGAATATCTCGACATTGGAGCACTCACCCGGCCTTGGGGTAAAGGAACTAAGAAGGAAGGGCAGATATGAGACTGTCTGTCGCAGAGAAGAATGGTGTGTAGGGACAGCCTAGGTATTTAATCTAATGGTCATACAGTTTGCATCTTCTGGATGTATATTTATTCATACGGTATGTTCGATGTTTTAGAAGTAGTGCCAAATTTAAAAATTCAAAATAGTGTGAACCCTTACAATCATGTACAGGTACCTTAAATTTCTGTTTTCCCTAAAACTTTTGGCTAAAGAATGAAGAATGAATTTCAGTCCACACAGTTGATGAAGCCAGGGCCTTGGCTGTGTGGCTAAGGACCCTCCTTGTACCTCTTGAGCACTGGGGTTACAGGTGTCTGTTGCCATGCCTGGACAGTTGTTTAAACTTGCTATGCATTTTTATTACACAATTGGATACATACATTGCCCCTTTAAATAGACTGAGTTTATTTTTGTATAACTTTTGAAGCAATTGTTAGAAGGAGTCTCAATTATTTTACAAGAAGGTAGCAGTGGATCTGTGGGCATTGTTGTACTGCTTTTAAGTTGTGGCATCTGGGCTGTCTTTACATAGTCTTGAAAACACTAACTTTATTGTCTATTGATGTAAGTGATTTGAGATCATCCAGAACTCGGCTCCTCGAATTGTTCACTGACTTGAGCTGTAATCCAGAAACAATGAAGAATGCAGCAGACTTGTATTTCTCACTTTTACAAGGTTAGTTACTGTTGTAAACGTGAACGTTTTTAAAAACCAACTATGTGGAAGTATACATTTAACTTTAAAGATTCGAGTAGTTTATAATCTCCCAGGCTATATTTGGAATGTTCGGTTCTCAGAATGTGACTTTGTATTAGTGATACATGGTCTTTCTAATATTCTGAAAATATTAGATAAATGTGGATATGTACACATTTCATATTCTGTTACCAGTAGAATATGTAAAATGTGGAGGGAAGAAAAGTTCCAGAAGTTTCATTCAGGCTGAATTACTGAAAAAGTAATTGTATGAATAATTTTTTGGGGGGTGGGGGTTGAGACAGGGTTTCTCTGTGTAGCACTGGCTGTCTAGAACTCCCTTTGTAGTCTTGGCTGGCCTCCAACTC